ATGCTCCATCCACCCCACCATCTTAGCATTCACAAATCATGCCTGATACCTTGAGGTATGTAGACAAAGCATTTAAAGCTGTGTGTATGGCCAAATTGCTGATTCTCTGAATCAGCATTGAATCTTCAGATTCAGCCAAATCAAATCGGGGACACTGATCTGAACCAACAAATCGAATCACTGTCCCTGATTTGGGCCGAATCCAAATCTGAATTGAATGCAGCGTGTTTTGCACACCTCTGAACCCAGATTGCATAGTGCAGGGTTGGACTCCTGAATGGTGGGTCCATCCATGGGCCCCATCCGGCATGTGGGGTGGTAGCAAGCCAGGGAATGGTCATGGCTCCCTACCTCTTGCTATTCTTTTAGATGCTTTTTTTCTTCTTTGCCCTACCTCTTAAGCAAGATCTATTACATACAAGGTTGTGGTATATGTGAAAAAATACAATACCCAGTCCTCAGTCTAGGTCCAAGGAAGGTCACACTTGAAAAGGTGTGCATTTTCTATAGTTTTACCCCAGAACAGCGGTTCCCAAACTCTGATAGATTGCACACCACCAATTTAAAAAGATACAACCTTAAGTACCACCAGCAAATTTTTCAGTTCAACCTAAGTACCACTAGCAAATTGTTGTTGTATAAAGTACTTACGATAAATCTGTTAGCATGTACCAGTGACAGGTTGTCTGCATACCAAGTTGGGAACTGCTGCAGTGCTGAGGGTATCTCCTCTACTGAGAAACTTTCAGTGTAAATAGGTTGTGATAAGTCTTCTGCAATCAGTTAAGACTCCTGTTTATTGCAGTAGCTTTGAATGGGCCTCATAGTGCTGTAATCTTAACTGTTTATCAAACAGGCAGATAGCTACTTAAAGCAGAGAGCTGTTAAGTCCAACACTTGACATGCACATTTGTCAAATCTAGTTCCCCTTCCATTAGGGTGGTGGGTAGGGACAAGAATGCCATGCGCTTTACCTGTTCCCGGCTGCCCATTTTTTCCCCTCCCTTCCATGATTATGAAAAGATATCAAACATGGAAATTGTGTAACTTAATTTAGAGGTGATTTCTTACTTCTAAAATAGGCAATGTGTGAGCACTATTTGGGGGCGAAGGAGTGGTGACACATACCTTAATACCTCCTTCATTTAAATGTCCTAGACACCAGGGCAGGGAGTCATTTCTGACTCAGGATGGGTGGAAGAAGCTGGAGTTGGAAGAAGAAACACAGCAGATGCAACCCATCTGACCAAAACACAAGGTGGGGTAAACCATTTTGCAGATCAAGCTAGACTGGGGTGCACCTGAACCCCAAATTTACCATATGCATTTAAACTTAGAGATCTGGTTTACCTAGATCTACCTAGATCCGGAGAGAGATCTAAATTTGTATCTCCTTCGGTTAGATCTATATTTAGTGCTTGCCCATAGGATGCCTGCCTGGATGCAGGGAGTAGTACCTGAAGCCCCAGACTCAGGGGTCTGGGAGAGGAGGACCCCCGCCCCGTGGCAGGCTTAAAGACTGAGTTGGGCTCAGCCGGATTTTGGCCTTGATAAAGATTTAAGAAAAAAAAAATGAAAGGAAGGGGAGGAAATGGAATCTTTTTCCATCCAGAATAAAAAGGCCGCCGCCTTGTTAAACAAAAAAAGATGATTATTACTTTTTTAAAAATGTTATTCCGCTTCAGCTGCAGTCGGCTGTTGCAGCAGCCCCGCCTCGGAGGAAGCCAGAGGCTTGAGGGGGGCGGCCGGGCGCGGGGCAGGGGGACGTGCTCGTGCTGCGCCCCGGCATCCCTGGCCGCGGGACGGCACAAGCCGGTTGCGGGTCTGATGTTCGCGGACTCCGGAGAGCCAGCAGAGCAATCCCCTGCCCGCGGCCGGAACCCTGCCCCGCCCCGCCCCGCCCCGGCGCCGGGGCCGAGGGGAGCCGCAGCCCGCGCCAGGTCCGAGGAGGCGGGAACGCTCCCACCTCCCACCTGACGCCCGCCGCCCTGTGAGGAAGGAGCAGGAAGTGGGAGCTTGGGAGAAGCGGAAATTGCAGCAGCGGAGCCGAGCGCACCCTGAGCAGCAGAGCGGGCAGCGGCCGTGGCCGGAGGAGCAGCGCGGTGAGTGGATCCTGCTCCTGCTCCTGCTCCTGCTCCTGCTCCAGCCGCGCGCGGGCTGCGCCACACGGGGCCGGGCCGGGGTTCGCCCTGCCCTGCCCTGCCCTGCCCTGCCCTGCCCGCGGGGGCGGTGCGGGGCTCGGCTGCTGCTGCCCCGCTCCCAACTTTCTTTGTTCTGCCTGCCCCTGGCCGGGCTCCCCGAGCTGCGCCCGGCCCCCGGCGTATGTCATTGCGGGGTGGGCGGGGGCATCTCTGGTCCGTGGTCCGAGGGGCTCCCGCGAGCAGCGGCCGTCCGCGCCCTTCCTCCGCCGCTGGGGAAGGGGAAGGGGAAGGGAGGAGCTGGGTCGCCGCCCTGACCCCTTTTCCCTGCCCGGGAGGAGCGCGGGGGCTTTGGCCGTTTCTCTGGGAGGCCCGAGGAGGCTGCAGATGAAGGACATCAGGTAACCGGCAAGTCGAGTAGGAGATCACGAGCGGATTTGCACCTTGTAGGCTCGCCAAAGCAGATCCCTAGGTATAGGTGTCTCTAGTTCTAGGTAGGTTGGTATCTCCATAGATATTCGTTCAGGGGACAGAGATGCACTTTCATTTCAGCTTGGATATCTGGATCTAGCTATCTAGATCTAAAGAGGTGTCTATATATGCCTCAGTTAGATCTAGATCATTCTGTAAGGACATGTACAGCCAAAGTAGATAGAGATCTAGATCTCGGTAAAACCAAAGTAGGTAGTTCAGCATCTGTATCTAGGTAGACCTGCATCTATATAACCAAACTTATGGATAGAAACTAAGTAGTTAGATCTCTATATCTAGATAGAGCTAAGTAGAGAGAGGTCTCTCTATCTAGATTGACCTACATCTATACATAGACCTAAGTAGAGAGGTCTCTATAGATAAATTAATATGTCTATACATATGTTCAAATCTAGATAGAGATATCTATATATGCTTTGGTAAGTCTATAAGGTGCAGATCTTCCCATGGCTTTCTGCTTGGCTTCTTGGCTACCTAATGTCCTTCTTGTACAGATTCACACAGCTATCTACGGCCTTCTAAGGCAGTGGTCTCCAAACTTTTTTGATCGCGCACCCCTATCAGTAAAAAATTTTTGAGCACGCACCCCCAATATATGAGTGAGGGCGCCACTATCAACCACTCCGTGTTGTGGAACTCCCACTCTTCCCTCAGGATACTTCACATACCATACGTGACACGTGACCGTCTGACATACAGACCAAGTGAGGGCGCCAGTGTCTATCCGTATATTAAATATTAGTAACGCTTAACTTCTTTCTTATTTTTTAAATAGAAGTTCTAATATTTTCTTCCCACACCCCAATGGATTGTCTTGCGCACCCCCTGGGGTGCATGCACCCTACTTTGGAGACCACTGTTGTAGAGAACATGGACAAAGCCAACGCTATCTCCTCACCCAAGGAAAGGGAGCCCTGGCCAGTGACTCGGCTCCTCCGTTCCAAAGGGATAGACCCAGAGAAGGAAGCATGAGGATGCTCACTTTCCCCAGCCCAGGATCCCAGGGAAGATTCCAGAGGAGAGACCCAGACAAAAGATTAACTCCCCTTCCCCAGCATATATCTATATCTGTACTGATATATCTATATCAATAGCACAAGCTTTTTGTGAGCTGAAGCTCACTTCATCAGATGTTGTGAAAGGCCGTGCAGAAAGCAGAGTGTAAAAAGAAGAGCTGCTTATGTTCTCTAGAAGCCAGGCAAGCAGTCTCTGCTGAGGCTGATTAAATGGGTGTGATTCGGTTGATTGCAGGGCTGTAACAGCAGTTGTCTTCGGATAGGACTTCTGGAGGGGATGGGGTGCTTCTCCCTCCAGAATCAGGCAAATGCTGGACCAAGTTGCATTAAAAATAGCTGGCTTGCCAGGTCTTACTCCTTTGGAAGGAGTCACTATTGCTAGGGATTTTTTTTAATCTTTTTTTTTAAACGTGTCTCCTGGCAACAAAGAATTCTTCATACGATTCAGTGAAATGCTTTTAAAATCTCCCTTGTGGACTATTTTCATATGTGGAGGGAATATTCATTCAAATATCCCAACTTGATAGGTCTGCAGCTGCAGGCTTGAGTCTTTCAGTATCCAGCTGCGGTATTAAAAGAGCAAAAAACTTGTACTTCCAACCAATTTGTCTTTCATTGGTTTCCTTGGTGATTTCTCACTAAGACTTCAACATGGAAAATGGGGTGGATTTGTAAATTCTGTTGGTTGGCCCTGTTACTGATGCCTGTACTGTATTACTACGTCGGGTTTATTCAGCAGAGGGCTGCCCAAGCGCAGCACAGAGGTAGCCTGGGGTAGAAGGCTGCACAGTTAAGCATCCTTGAGCCAGACAGTTAAGAGATGATACCAGTGCTGCTAGTCTTGATGACTTGCCTGCTTTACAGTTGTTTTTTACCCAGGAAATTCAAAACCTCAGAGCAGAGGGAAAACAAAAAAACTGGGAATGTTTAAAGAAACCCTGTCTTAAATGATGGCAAATATTTATTCAGGGGAGATAGACTGAGGCCTCTGGGTCACTTTCATTTAAAGGCACTATGGGATCTGATCCCCAAGCCCAACAGTTATACTTCCTGTCATGCCACAAATGCATAGCAGGAGGCACAAATTTGGGATCAAAGAACTGGATCCCAATTTTGCCCTTTCTACTTGCCAGTGCAGGTCAAGGACCAGGCTGACAATCATCGGATTGCTGGCTCTGGTCAGGACCTGCCCCAGCGTCTCAAAGTGGACCCGGTGTGGGCTGGGGCAAGAGCTGATGATTGTTGGCCAAGGCCCCATATCAGTCGAGGGCTGTCTTTTGTGTGGCTGCACCCCTCACCACTGATTGGCGGAGAGGGGCAGGGCCACAACCTCAGCCAATCAGTGGCAGAGTTAGTGTCCACCATCTTGGCTGCTGTCCTTCATACCAGCAGCTCCCCACCTTCCCCACCAGAGTGGGCTGTGAGGCTGGGTTGCAGCAGCCGCTGGCTTCCACTGGGGAGCTAGCACTTTATTTTTAGTAAGCCCCCCCACCCAGCAATTCTGTGTAGAATTGCAATTTGAATACGTCCCTAATTATGTGTGGAACATTTTTATGGCTGGTTTGCCATGTTTGGTTCCTTAAATTGAGTGCACTTTTGCTAGTTAAACTGCAGCAGTCCTGCTAGTTGTGCTGTAATTAGCACATTTATATAAAAGTTATATATCTCATGCCCCCTCTACACACAATATAAATGTTACATGTAGAGGGGGCATGAGATATATAACTTTTTTTTTTTTAGGTATCAGAAGAAGTTCAGCTTATCAAGGTCACCATGAGAGGACGGTAGACGTTTAGGTGTACGTATGCAGTTTTTTTTGTTTTTTTAAATTCTTTTTTCTCTGACGTTTTGTACGACTGCTGAAATAGTAATCATTTGGGATCTGAATGGAAGAACTGCAGATGCCTAGACCAGAGGTGGGCAAAATGGTGGATCCAGCTAGAAGCTGGACTCTTATTTCCCAGCAGCCCCTGCCTGCGTTGCTGCAGCTGGCAGCACTGTGACAGCATGGGGCCAAGGTTTCTATTGATAGCAGCTCCAGTAGCACTGGCAGGGCACACAGATGGGCAGGGAACTGCTCTAGGGTTGGGGTTGGGATCTGGGGCCAGGGCTTGCGGACAGTGGATCACAGCTCTACCCTGGCTCTAGACAATGGCATCACCACCGCAAGACCCCAGCTCCAGAGCAACTCCTTGCCCATCAGTGTGCCTTGCCAGCGCTGCTGGGGCCAGCCTCCATGGAAACTCTGGTCCTGCACTGTCATCGTACTGCAGCTACTGGGGCTCCATGGAAACTAGCTGCAGTTACATGGGCAGGGGCTGCTGGGAAATGGAGTTGGCCATGGGCCTGATCTGGCCCACAGGCTGGACCTTGCCCACGCCTGGTCTAGTCCCAGTTGGACCTTCTGGGTAATAATGGGTACTGGACAGGGCTGAGTGTATAGGTGGGAGAAAGGCCAAACTTTCTAGGAGGGGATTTGAAATCCCCAGAAAGGACAGCCCTGTACTGAATTAGCATCAGTTGCAGGTAGTCCTGTAACCAGGATAGGAACATCTGTTTTTACTTTTTTCTGAATGTAGCATTGCTGATAGAGCTGACTGGCATTTCCCTTTGTTCTTCAGGGATGTTGCTCTTGCCCCTCCTTCTCACACTACATACAGGGTATTCCTGACTGTCTCCATCCTACTCTCTGTAAAATGCTGGGGCTGCTGATCAGTTAGCTTGATAAAGGACAGAAATGGCCAGATAAATCAAAAATGTATAGTCTCAGCATGTTTGAACTGTAGCTCTGTTTTTCCAGAAATTTGACCGAACCGAGTGAGTCAGTACCTTGTGGATACAGAACAGATCATGTTTCTTTGTAAGTCTAGTTTAAAAGAGATCTGCCAGGACAGCAAACTACTATGGAATTTTTTTTTAAGGATTTTTTTTGCTGCTCACTTTATCTAGAAGAGGTTTGGATAACTTACTTGATTTTTTTCCCTTTTACTGCTATTATTCTTACGTCTAACGTAGCAGAGCCTCGGATTGAGAAAAAAGAAAAATATTGGCATTTACTATGCATACATTTTCAGATCAGGATTTTTTTATCCATTTCCTTAAAAGGTCCTTCAGATTCTGGTCTTTTCCTTTGGTTACCATTTTTAAGAATGCTGAAAAGTAAACAATATTTAGAGTAAAAAGGAGTCTTCAATGAAGACCATTCGGAAAATATTAGAGAGGAAATGATTGCTTGGTATATGGGCTTAGTAAAGGCTTAAAGTTGAGTGGAGAAAATATTAAAAATAGGATCACACGTGCAGGTAACTTAGTATTTAAAATTTACCTTTATAGTGGTTATTTTTGTGTAATATGGAAAACGATGCTTTTCTATACATTTCATAGAAAGTAGAGATGGGGAGATCAATTAGGTTGGCTACTGTCAGCAGTGGCTAGCGGGGGAGAGACCTTGGAGCCTTCCCCTGGCAATCTTCCCCCCACCCGCCAACTAGCAGTGTGTCGCTGCCTGGCAAGGGCTTCTGAAGTGGGAGACTCCAGAGCCCTTCTCCTGCAACCCCATCCTCCCCCCCC